AATGCACTTCGATTTAATTGACAAAGTTTGCGCAGAATCTTATTCAGACTTGAGAGCTATTCAGTTTCCGCAATCAATACTATCGGCTCTGGTAGATGAGTCAAGCTCCCGTCATTGTTAGTCAAGAAGGCAAAATCAGTTCGGTCGTGAAGTTTCGATGAGCACAAAAATAATCTGTAAGACAACTGGATGCATTGTAAATAAAACCTTGAATACATCTTCCTCCTCAGAAAAATGTCGAGAAAGTTCTCTCGAGTTATGAGATATTTTATCTGCATTAACAATAAGAAACAACCTCCACATTTTCCTTCTACGTACAAGAAATAATATATAAAAGAAATCGTAAAATTCTGCGCATCTTCTGGGCTTTCGAATCCCGTCCAGAGCAAAAATTCTTTTTAGAACCGCGATAAACATACTTTGATATTATGGTGGATATTAATATCGGCGACCATGACAATTTTTTTACTCGTCGTCGAGATAAATTCTTTAGGGTGGAATACGGCAAAAATATAAAAGAACAAGAAGCACGCGAGGCCGCAAGCGAAACATAACGATGTTTACGGCGTTAACCATCCTAGCCGAGTAGCTCATATTTGCGGTTTGACGAGTATGGGGAATAACTCCGTTTAATGGTGGGTCGCTATGGTTCTATTTGAGAGGAAACATCATCACGGTCTTTCCAGGATTGGCGCAAAACCGGAGCAAATATCGGCCTGTGGTTAATTAACCACGGAAGTTTAATCAGCGGAAGTGGTCCCCCAACTCCGCACATTCGGGATACAAAATAAAAGATGGTATACACGACCAATAGCTTCGAATAAGTCTGTTCTAGACGTGCGAGAACAAAAAATGTGTCGTCACTTTTAGCTCAAATGCACCTTCTTTATCTTTTCGAGAGTACATTTTGCCTCACCATTTCTTTCTACCTCTTTCTCTCTATCTTTTTCAAAATATCTATATAAATCGAAATTAAATCATTTATATATTTATGTATTTAATGTAAATTTATGCTTGTTAAACAAAAATTATTTTATTTTTTTCTATAAATCATAAATTTTTATTAGTTATGCTTCATATTTTCTTTATTTTTTTCTTGAAATAAAATATTTTTGCATCTATTATCTATTGTCTCAATATTCGCTTTACATATAAGCAAGGCGTATAAAAAAATAATTTATCATATCTAAAGAAAATGCATCTAAAGAAAATGCTAAATATTAATTTTATTAATATAATTTATAAAAAGATATATATATATATATATATATATATATATATATATTATATCAAAGATGGAGAGAGATTTTTCATACAGCATTGCTTTGTATGACATTTCCTTTGTTATCGATGAGATAATCGCGATAAACACGAATATAATGACGATACATTTTCGAAAGCAAACGCAAAGATCAAGATCTCTTGTAAACTGGTGCGAATAGATGAAAGTACACCATTTACAATCGATGCCTTTATCTCGCATGAAAGGAGAAATCATGCTCTTTCAGGCCAGAGGTGCGAATCGACGCAAGCATTGGCCATTAATTAGTCGCAAACGAGTGCTGGGGTTATAACGGACATGCAAATCGCATAATGGGGCAACGCATGCACGTTTCTCATGCCCCGGATCAATGATACGAGGAAAATAGGCAAATCTGAGAAATTTGTATGTTAGATGAACAGAGAAATTCAAAGTATGTTATAAAAAAATTCAAAGTATGTTATAAAAAAAGTGCGATATTTATTAATTTTCAGAGAAAACGAATGTGTATTATAATTAAAGAATTTCCATTGTTACGATTTACTGCCTTATGTAATTCAAGTAATATAATACAGTTTTCAAAAACCTCGTATACGGTATCAGAATCCCGTTCTTAATGATATAAATTCTCTGTGTAATTTGAAACTGATTTTTCCTTAGAGAAAATGTTAGGAAAATCCTCATTTATCGCGATTTTTAAATATGCAACATTAGAATGAAACATATTTTTCCCAACTGAATCGTTTGGCTTAAATAAAAATTCTAGCACAAACTACTAAAAAACTTGAATGTGTATCAACAAAAGTTTCGTTCGGTGCACTGTGACACACTTCGTAGTCTGACTACAATTCGTATGTTTTATACATATGACCTACTTCAATATATTTTGACTTAGCCTCGCAAACAATATAGTTTACTGATGATGAAATTAATTTAATCGTCAGATTATTTTTAAATTTTATAAATATTGTAGGATAAATTTGGCGCAGAACAAAAGTCTGCTCGATTCTCCACAATTCTTATATTTCTTAATTATAACTATATATGTATTAATATTAAAAGTCAGATAATACGTTTTCATAAAATAATTTTTCCTAAAGAAATTTGCGAGCAATGTTAATTCTGGTTTTTATTCTTGCACTTCTCATCTTCGTTCATATTTATTAAATGTTTTTTAACATATATCGACATTTATTCAACATGTTTTTTTTAGATTATTGAAAAAGACATAATTTAATACATAACTAAATAAAGAATAACATGATTGAATAATATGCAGGTATTTAAATCATATCAATTCTTCAACATCATTCCTTAAATTGTGATTGATCCAATCAAATTATATTATTATAGTGTTTTGCTTGAAACTCTAATTAAAAAGTCTATATTTAAAATCGAGAAATCAATTTGATAAATTTGCTCTATAAAAAGCAAACTAAAATAAAATCGTGATGCTTGTCACAACGGATTATTATATCATTATCTATAAAATATGAGTACAATTTTACTCGAGTAGGGGTACAATTTCTTAAGGACGAAAATAGAAAGGCCAAGTATTCGTTAGAAGCAACTTCTTTGTATTAGTGATGTACCTATCGATTACATATTTTAATCGAATGTAACGACAAATTAATACCGGCGAATTACGAAGGATATCGCATCTATATAATTTATAATACGCGATATACATGTATATATATTATCAACATTAATTATTCCGCGGGGTAGCTACGACGCACAGTGTGAGTAACTACGACAGTAATTAGCTCAGTAATCCACAGCGCATTCTGTGCAGTTTCACCGAATACAACAACGTCGGCGCGATGCGTCAGAGCGCTGGAAGTAATTTTGTATGCAACGCGCCGGGTGAGTCCGTGGGAGTCCACAATTTCAATTGGAAATTATAATGGAAATCTACGCCCGGAATTTATTTCGGATCTTCCACGGTCGCTAATCCGTAGCGAAAGGAATCCGCGTTACAACGCCGGTCTTTAACGCAAACAGTGTTATGTTACGCTAGAAAAAAAAAGGAGGAAGACTTTATCGGGTAAAAACCGCAACCGTCGTTACTCGACACCGCTTAAATCGGGGCTTGAATGCAAAACGAGCGCTATAAAAAAAAAGGAAAAAATATGCAATCCCTCCTTTTACACAGAAAAGTGCTGCACATTCTATTTTTATGACAAAAGAGCCATCTTTGTGTGCATCATCGTTGACATTTTTTCGATTTTTCCGTACATTCAACGCTGATCGTAGCGACCAGTGAAGATACACGTTGCGAAGACGATACGAAAACATACTAAATTTTTGTTTATTAAATATATAGGGTGTTTCTTAATAAGCGTGAAAAATTTTAGGAGATGATTCTCTGTCGAAAATTAAGGAGGGTTTATCATATAAACATATACTTCTATATCCCTCTCTGTGGAGTTACATTCCCTCAAAAATAGGGATAAAAATTAAGTTTTTAGATTTTTATTATAATTTTGAGTTTTTATTATAATTTCTTATTATAATTTTATTATAATTTATTATAATTTTTTTAAGTTTTTTAGGTTCTTATTATAATTTTGTTTTTGTTCCAATTCTCTCAAATTTACTCTAATTTTATTTTTATTTTAAAATTTAACTTCTCGTAATTCGAAATCTATGCTATTTAACATCGTGCTGTGTATTTTATTGTTTTTTCTTGAAAACTACTGATTTGATGAAAAAAATAAAAGAAATAAGGAAGCTTCTAAATAAATCAAACTTTTTAATGCATATGTTTAGATGATCATATTTCGGCCCATTAAAAAATTCTAATAAAAATTGAATAGGAATTGCTAGTTTCATCCCCTTACTACAATGCGAGAAACTGAAAAAATATTAATAAATAATCTTTTTTACTAGTAGAAAATATCCACCTAATTTCATTTCTTTAATTTGCTCCAAAGAAAAAAAAATAAAAACCTAATTTTTATCCCCATTTTTGGAGGAGTGTAACTCCACAGAAAGGGGTATATGTTTATATGAAAAACCCCCCTTAATTTTCAACAAAGAATCATCTAAAATTTTTCTCACTTATTAAGAAATACCCTGTATACTTATTAAAATTAATCGAAATCCGCATTAAATGCACGCTATTAATTGAAACTTCAAGAGTATTTCAATAATACACATCGCGTGGGCGGTCGCCCTAAATTATATCGGTCCGTCTGATCTTGACTTTTGCCCGTCTAACATACACAGAGCGCGGTACGTTCGATATGAATAATGGATTCGAATCAAACCGGCCGTTTAGCGTGAAACGCCGCGCCTCGGATCCGCGTCTGTTTATGTATGCGGATTTAATCTGCCGTAATCTGTGTAAGTCGCCTTCCGATTGCCCTCTCTCTCTCTCTCCCTTTCTCTCTCTCTCTCTCTCTCGTGCACGCGTGACGGAAGACGTAATTATTGAATGACGGGGGCGAAATCGCAAGCGGCGCACGAGCGTCATCCCGTTCCCAGGGCCCGGTTCTCTCGGCTTTAACCTAAACCTCGCGCCGATGACGAGGAACACGCGGTGCCAACGGCGGAAATGACTTACGCTCGAGTTAACTTACAAGAGACACGCCACCGTTTTCACAAACGGGGGCGTCCCCTCGCGTCGATGTGTACTCGATTACCTCGATAACGGGGGCACGACGGGGAAACGCGATCGATCTCAGCCATTATTCACTAACGGACCTAACCACCTGTCTCTCTCTTGCCGTTTCAGGTGACAAGATGGCAGCGATACAGCGTCGCAAGACGTCGGCAGCCGGGAGGAATCGGTCGGGGGTGCTGTTGCCGGCGTTACTCATCGTAGCAGGCGTCGTTTTAGCGCGATAAGCGTCTCACTTGGAAATGTCCATAACTATTACACCATTACACTTCCGTTTGTGATAGATAGGATATTACTCCCGGGACTGTACGGTCCTCCGCCCTCCTTTTTCACCCCCCCGATCCACCCCGTCTGTCGTCCCTCCACTTCATCCCTCGCGGGTCTTCTTCTTCCACCCCCTCCTCCTCCTTTCCTGCCTAGTTCCCGTCTTCCATCCCATCTTCCTCTCTTCCCTTCCTCCCTTTCATCCCCCTCTTTCTTCGCTCGCGTCCCCCTTATCCCTTATTTACCTTAGTCGAGGTTGCCGCCGGCTGGACTATTTAGATATGCGAGATTTTCGTGGAAGATTGCGCGATTGCCTGCTCCAAGTCATTACGCGCGACGCGCATGCGACTCGAATTATGTAAATACTCGCCGGGTCGAATACGCCACGACGACGCGGATTACGTAGGCCAGGTCTGTCCAACTTCCGGGTACGCTGCCGATCGTTGTTCTACTCTCATCAGGTTCTTCAGCTCAGTCGGATGGAAAACTCGCTTGGTTAGTACAAACGGATCGATCACGACAACAAGGTGAGAACACATTTCTCCAAAAATCCAGATAATGGGGTGCAAAAACGTACATTTTTTAATATGTTGTGTGTGTGTGTGTGTGTGTGTGTATGTGTGTAAAAGTGACGCAAGCGTCGTTTCGTCTAAGAACAACATTTCTACTTTACACTTATTATCGTTACAATTTTATTTCGTGAGTTTGTATTGTTTTTTGAATAATCAAATAATGATACACAATGATTAAGAAAATTTGATAGATTTTGGAAATATGCTGCTCAAATGATTAAGGTCTTCTTTGGATAAATTGTACGATTCAACTTTGCAATAAACCACTTAATTTTAATTATAGAGCAATATAATATTGATATGATTCGATTTTATACTGTAAGAATAATGCACATTAAATAGCAATAGCAATTAATAGCAATATTAATTGAATACATTCACTCGCATCTCAAGTTAAATTCAAAATTATGTATTTCAGTTTTCTGCAATTTTTCTTAAATTCATCTTAATAATAATAGCAATAATAAAAAGTAATTACATAATATAATTAAATATTATATAATATTATATAATATATGTTTCCTATTTTCCCAACTAAAATAATCAGTTCACAGATATTTCGAATCATAGTCTCGATACAATCTTTTCTTAAATCTGCGTGAATGACACATTTCCAAAGTCTGGAGAATTTCTCTTGGGGTGCATTATATATTTGTGAGTAAAAATAAAAAATAGAAATGGCAGTCGAAACCGAAATCCCGCGTCTCCATCGAAATGCAAAGTATGCGAGGTCTTTGCTCGCGATCTTGTTTCTCGCGTTTGTAAAAATTGTTGCGAAAAATCGCTCGCTTTACAAGCGCGCTCGACAAAGTCTTACAATATTATGACAGACGGAGATCACAAACGCGGAAACACTTATTGCACGACACGACGTCACGCGCGTTTATTGCACGCGAAACAAACGCGAACAAAGCGCGCATAGGATTGCAATATGCGGATAGAGCGCGGTACGTCATTAAAGACCGTCATTAAGGCACCTCGCGGCTGCGTTATTACAGCTTATACTACTAGATGGATCATCCGCTCGTCGTTATACCCGGGAAAGCATCGAGAAAGTGAGAGAAGAGAGGAGATCCTACCATTCCGTGGTATTAAGTACGTTAGCAATTGCCGCAAATTTAGACCCAGCAATATCAAGATATATTCTTATTATATTAACTACTTTGTATTCTACATAAAATCATATGTGTGCTTAATATGAGAAATATTGGTCTGGCACAGTAAAAAATAAAATGTTCATTTTTCACAGAAAGTTCACTCTAAATTTTACGTTAAAATAACTCATTCGTTATTTATTAACAAACTAAAAATGTCAAATAATTGACACGATATTTTACATTTATTTTTGTTATCGTGACTTTAAGTGAAATGTAAAAGTAACATACAAATTAATTAAAAATTACATAAAAAAATAGTTACAATAACTCGTAAGAAATGTTGAGGATTAACATATAATAGTAATTATTTTAACTTAAATTTATAATAGAAACATTTGATTTTAGTAAATTGGATTATTTTTGTATGTCAAAGTTCAAGATTATTTCAAGATTCAGTCTAACTTTTCCTAGAATGTTAAACTGACTTTGAAACATGTTGATTGTTTAAAATGATTCTGTTAAAAATACTCAAAATAATATTCCAAAATAATATTCTAAGAGACATGTACAAAGTGTCAAGTTATGAAGTTGACATAAATGTAACACATGAAAACGTTATAAAAATAATAATATTAGTAATAATATTAATTACATATAGGTTGTATGTTAATTTTACATTAAAGAACTAATCAAAACGTGGTAACACAAGAAAATTTTAAATTTATGGACGTACAATTTTTTACTGTGTCCATTTATTAAATTACTAATATCTTTACACAAAATTTTTATATTTTTATTTAATAAAGAAAAAGTAAGAGAGTTTGTTCATGTTATATAGATGAGTTACTCTTCTCTACTTTGATAATGCAGGTTAAGAATATAAAGTCATACGCTCTATATCGTGAAAGTAACGTCACCACGTGCGACGCTGAATATTACTTTATATATGATTGCAATTTCGCGTTCTTGCGCGAGGCGTGCGCGTGAATTTTAGAACATCCTTACATGAGAAAAGTTAAACAAGTGGCATCCGCCGCTTCTCGGAATGTTGAACAACCAACATTCGTGACGTACGCTTCTTTCGGGCCACGTGTAGCTCCGATCTTAAAGTTGCACACGAATGAACGTAACGCCGTCCCCCTTGTCATTGAGCTAAACTACGTGAAGCAAACATCTCGAGGAAGAACCGAGTTTCAACCGAGTTCTTTCCGCGTTTACTCCCCGGCTCATTTATTATTACAATTTCGACGTATGTGAAGACAAATCGTTAATTGAGACGATTACTTGCAAAAATGTCGACCTGAATTAATCAGAATAACAATAATAAAAGAACTCAAGACACAATTGAACGAAACGAGATCTCTTTTTTATCTTTTCGGATTTTATTTTAAATGATGATTTTATAAGATTAATTTTATAAAATTAAGACAAGTGTATGTGTGTGTTTATATGTTGTATGCACGTATGTTCTACCACATGTAGATTGTTTTTCAGAGAGAAACATCAGACACCTGCAATCAATTTTATCCGTATATATTTACATGTTTTTATAAAATCCTTCGAGAGTGAACCAAGTACCCATCGTCGAGGCGTTTATCGAATTAATTACAGGCCGAGTATCGTCTCATTGCATATTAAAAATGAAACCTACAAGTTGGACAGGCTTGACTCGTAGGCTCACCGAGCGGCAGCAGAAACGTGTCGTTTAAAGGGGCCCCCGGCGTTTCTTTTGAGGGCCCACGAAACTATCACGTAGCATCGTTTTCTCTCGCCTGAAACACTGTACACATCGGATATACATAGCGAATAAGGCGATATTCAACGGTTCTTTCTGTATATCCTAATTTAAGGCGAGATGCGCGCGCAAAGATACAAAAGAAAACGTAGAAAGTAGAAGGTAAAACGGTACTTTTTTTTTTCTCCGAGAATCGAATTTTTTTTTCTCCGCGTTATCTTCGTTATAATAATATTAAGTTTATTAAGACGACAGGTCTCGAGAAGCGTTTCCTTAAAAAACGTCTTGCCCTTTCCACGCGCGAAGGAGGGAGATTTCAAGGAGAACGCAAGCGGATAAAATTATCCAAGAATTATAATGCGCAATTCTTGAGATATAGATATGTAATCGCGATGAAATCTGCGAACGGTTTGTTGTAAGGTGTCGGACAACGCGTGCAATTAAAATGTGAAACGACTCCGAATTTTCAAAGTTTATCTTAGAACGCGAAAAGTCACATAACGAAAGTCTTATTTGACATTCTACCTTGCTGCCAAAAGTCACATATGTTATCGATATTATATATTATGTCTTTGAGCGCGACACAATCTGTATTACGGTACAGCAGTTTATTATAGTAAAAATACAGAATGCGATTAAACAAGATGTTGCAACTAAATTTCTATTCTTCGCAACGCGATGGTAAAATTTATTCTTGATATCAAAATTACATTCATTTGAGATTTAATTGACATCTTGACATGAATATTTGACACTTTAGAATCTAGGAGTTAGAAGTACATGCTAATTTTAAAATTTGAATTGTCTTTATTTCGTTGGAAATTTGCAAAAAATGAACATTTCCAATAATCATGATTCATAAGATTATTAATCAGATTTTTCCCAGAATTCTTTATTGGAGATTTTTAATTTACATTTACAAAATTACATTCATCACAATAATTACATTCATTTGAGATTTAAATGATATCTTGACATGAATATTTGACACTTTAGAATCTAGAAATTAGAAGTACATGCTAATTTTAAAATTTGAATTGTCTTTATTTCATTGGAAATTTAGAAAAAATGGACATTTCCAATAATCATGATTCATAAGATTATTAATCAGATTTTTCCCAGAATTCTTTATTGGAGATTTTTGATTTACTTTTTTATATAAATTAATCGCTTTTCTCGAGTTGCTTAAAACAGTTACCTCGAAAGCGGCTAATAGTTTTATAAAGTAACGGATCATACTTTAACGACTTTTATAATTCCCACGGTAAAAGCAACGATACGACAGCATAATATTTGAAGAATTTGCGTTAAAAAAATTTGTTTAAAATTTACACGCTTTTAATAAATATAACACATAATTATATCATAGTCCTTTCAACGAGAGCTATACTTCTCGGCATAATTTAAAGCACATTATATAGATACAGATGTCGTATAAATCATACGTAGAGAATTCGTGGAATTTCTACAGAATTTAAAATTTTAATGAAGTTATTCTGAATAGAAGCGAAAAAAAAACTGTCTTTCGAGTAATTCCTTTATAGGAATATCATGGAATTCTAGCTCGACCAATATCACATTACGTGCCAGCATATATTCGTTATTATATAAGCATATATTATCAAAAGATTTAATTCGATGTTACGAAAAATGAACATGTTGTTAGATATTTGCTCTGTCTCGTGACGATCTTCTAGCGATATTTATAAAGATGACATTATATTGTAAACGTATTGAAAAATATGTTTATAAACAATTGTCTAATCCGTATTCATTATTCATTATTAATATGCGAAAGCGAAATATATGGAACGCGATATCAATTTTGCAAAATTTTACGAAACAATGCGGCAAAGAATTTGCCATCGTTGTCAAAATCACTTCCTTCGATAATGCCCGGAATGTTTGATCGTCTAATCGTGATAAATTTATAGTTACAGCTTTATCGCTTACGTTATTTGAAATTCAAGCAGTCTACAAAGCGGTTACAGAATTCAACAAATTTTACGACCTTTCCGACAATTCCCAATCGTCCCTTACAATCTCTTCGTTACTGTAAGTTAATAGCTCCTTTACGTGCATACTTGAATCGTTCCAGAACCGAGTACTCACTTGCGTATATTATACGAAAAAGAAAGACAGAGAAAGAGAAAAAATATGCATACATTACGTACTTAATAAATTTTATATTCATTTAGAAACTTTTACATTTTCGCACGCTACTTACTTTAAATCTATTTCATTCTAGCATGACTTTTTATAAGTTTATTATTAATTTTCCAGTCACGATTATTGGTAATATTTCATATTTTAATTAACATGACAAAGTATATATATTTAATATTAATTTCCGAATGTCTGATTACAAAATTATATATTTCAATTTCAATCAAATTATCTTTTAAAATATTTTTACAGTCATAAATTGTATTTTTCTCCGTCTATAATTATTATAAATTATCAGAAATATGGTACGTATAAAAAAAATTATCTCTTAACAATACAATTTTCTTAGCGAGCTTCAAGACAGCGTAAATTCGCAATGA